AGAGCATTTTCATCAGGTTTAAAATTAAATGCTCTGGAGAAAATGAACATCATNAAGTCAGCAAACTTATAACTTATCCAACAAATAATGAAGGGAGCTTGTGCTATGTCTTAAATACTTACCATGAATACATCAAACTCATCCATTGCCCGAAATGGGGACTCAATCATTTCATGAAGAGCAAGAGCAAAGCACAATGTTGAGAAAGAGCGTTCCCCTCCTGATTCATCACAAAATCCAACCAAACAGATGCAGAGCATTTTCATCAGGTTTAAAATTAAATGCTCTGGAGAAAATGAACATCATCAATTCATCACACAAGCAAACTAGTGATAATATAGACGTGAGATTAAAAACAATAGGCTTCACCCATAATATTTTGCCTCCATTGTTTCATGTCGAACGAACTAGTTAATAAATGTGGACTACGAATAACTCTACCTAAAACTGTTGAAGAATAAAATGAAGACCTAGAGCCTCCGTATCCCGTTTGAGCCACTCACATACACAACCAAATAATCCCTGTATACGCCACTCAAAAGTAGGGTAGTAGGGGAAGATGTATGCAGACCTTACCTCTACACCGATTACCCGCGTAAAGAGGATGTTACTGCATGCTTAGTGAAATGTAGTGTACAACAACAACAACAACCTAGGTGAATCCCACAAAGTAGGGTCTGGGGAGGGTGTGTGTACGCAGACCTTGCCCCTACTCGGAAGTAGGGAGGTTGTTTCCAAGAGACCCCCGGCTCCACCTGCACAAAAATATGGAAGGGAACACAATATAGCCCAGATAGAGCACCAAGTACAAGCAACAAGTACAAGAAATAGCAGAAGATTCCAAACAAATACAACACACTACAAAACAACTTCTACAACACCGAGCTCCTATCCAGCTACTCTAATCCTAGTTTTCCAAAGGTTCCTATCTAGGGCCATATCCTGAGTCAGGTCGAGAAATCCTAAATCCTGCCTAATCACCTCCTTCCAATGTAGTGTGAGCAGTGAAAAATGTAGTGTGCGCAGTGAAAAATGAAGGAAGCAACAAAAAAATACAAGAAGCAACTAACCACTAACCAACACAAATAAATTAACAGCAGGCTTGCGTGAACTACAACAAAAACATACCTATTTACAGGGACTATATCTCAATGGTTAGATTTACAATCAAACAATAATGATCACTGTGGACAGCATTTATTGGTGAGGAAGAAACAAAGAATAAAGCATGTTCATAAATCATGAAAACTTGATTGTCATATTAAGATAAAGCACACAATATGTTCCAAATCACACAATGCAACTTTATACTTAACTCTATAGCATGAATATACACGTGCCAAAGTAAAATTCATATCACTGCACACAAATGCACACATGTAAACATATGCAAGGAAACCTGAGAGCCCCCTTGTAACATGAACCGAGCTACTTGATGCATCTTGAGGCATTGTAACCTGGTAAGGAAGACGGGTATAGTTATATAGTAGAAGAAAGATGAAAGAGAAATTTAGTTCACAAATTGCTCTGGCAAGGGACATAACACCCTAGAAAGCTCATCATAATAATAATTTAAAAGGAAACAAACAAACAAATAAATAAGTTACACACAAATACAATAAATTTCTACCCATCAAAAGCCCTTTTTAATTTTAAACTAAACAGGAGCATAAAAACAAAGCATAAAAAACATGAGCCATATAGAAATAAACCAAATACTCCCTCTGTCCCATAATTTTCTTCTCACATTCACATGGCTCGCTTTGTGATAAAGTAAACATTGTGTGGTTGAGACTCATGGAGAGGGAAAAGATATGAACCACAAAATTAGTTCCATAAAAGGAAACTTGAAGAAAATTTTGGGACATCCCAAAAAGGATATCATAAAGAAAAAGGACATGGCATCTCTCAAGAACATCTCCACAAATGAAGTCATTCTCACTGGGAAGAGAATCAGAAACATCTATAAAGTAATGTGGAACGATGTCAAGGAAGCATGCCTAATCAGCAAAGGTGACACTAACCTTCTATGGCTTTGGCATAAGAGGTTGAGTCATCTCAACTTCAAAACTCTCAACAAGCTATCCAAAGAAGAGTTAGTAGAAGGCCTTCCCAAAGCTGTATTCAAGAAGGAAAGCGTTTGTGATGCCTGCCAGAAAGGAAAGCAAGTCAAGTCTACTTTCAAGGCAAAACCGGCACCCTCAACTACAAGGATATTAAGTCTTGTTCATATGGACTTATTTGGCCCCGTTACTCCAATAAGTCTAAGTGGAAAGAAATATGTCCTAGTGGTAGTTGATGATTACTCAAGATACACGTGGACAATCTTCCTCAATAGCAAGAAGGAAACTCAAGGGAAGCTCACAAACTGCATGAAGCTGATTTAAAACCAAGCAAGTCAGACCATCCAGAAGATCAGATCTGACAAAGGCACAGAATTCCTGAATGAAATCATCATTCACCACTATGAAGAGAACGGAATTCTTCATCAGACATCTGCAGCAAGAACGCCTCAACAGAATGGTGTAGCTGAAAGAAGAAACAGAACCTTGAAGGAAGCAGTGAGGACCATGCTAGCCGAAGCTTCTTTGCCAAAGAGGTTCTGGGCTGAAGCTGTTAACACAGCTTGCTATACTCAAAATAGGAGTATGATTTATAAAAGGCACAACAAAACTCCCTATGAACTGTGGAACGGGAGAAAGCCTAATATATCATATTTCCATATTTTTGGGAGCAAGTGCTTTGTGTTAAACAACGGGAAGAATCATCTGAACACTTTTGATGAGAAATCAGATGAGGCCATCTTCCTTGGATATTC